CAGGCAAGAACAGAAGCGCAAAGTAAGAACGTTGAGGGCAGGAAATCATGGATCGGAAATTTCCTGATCCGCCAAATACAGAGCCAAGCTTTTGTTGAGATCTTGAGATCTTGCTAACACGGCTGAAACCAACTTGGCTCCGGAGGGCCACGGACAGTCGTTTTGCCAATGTATGTCTGGGGCCCTCCAAATAATTTGCCGGGCATAGGGTGTCGGTGTTAAAGGTGTAAGTTAAATCCTTCCCAGCGCCTATATGTTGGAGACATTAGGCGCATAGGGCGGGTGCCTAAGACGAGTTTTACTTACGATATGTTTTATCGGTGAGATGTCGGTGTGATCTGTTCCAAATCAAACCATGTTTGATGTTGTCAGGATATTTCGTGAATAATCCGACAAGATTTTGGTGGTGTGCCGCGTGAATCAGGAAAAATCGTCTACGATAAATATTGAACAGGCCAATAGCCTAACGTGCCCGTGTCCACATATGACAGTTTACAACATCGTTAGTTCGCTCACACCCGCTATTTGTGTGCGAGAGTATAGGATAGTGTCGGCTGGACCCAGGAAAAGATCGACACACCTCAGCTCTAGCAGTTATGACAAAGTTTGCTGTATATCTACTCAAGTCATTCTCCACCTCACGCACCGCCAAAAACGGAACTTACATACGTTTGTTAATTAGGGATATTAGTACATATACATGCATCAACATGCGCAGCACACGCACACACGCGCTCACACAATAACCGTTTAAGCAGCAGAAAAGTCGAGAAGCGAAGACGGCAAAAAGGGAAAAGCAGATGTAGTATCTTCAGGCGAGCGTGGGGTTATTCGTAGCTATTATCATGTTCAGAACAACACTTGTTAGTGACATCACAGTAATGTGTTCTGTTGTATGATGGTCACAATATTTGACGGCGCTTATTAATGATTTCCAACACTGACAGCAAGGTGTTTGTGTTTGTGTTTTGGGGGAAAAGATGCGCTTTAGTATAATCTGTATGATTTCCATTCCGCTTCTTTGGTTCGTTCTTCAAAACATGATGTGTCCGCTGTCATAGAATGCATATATATATATAGGAAAGAGTATTCTAAGATGAGCAACGACTGCGATTGTACAATAATATAGACTGTTTACTGGAAAAAGTGTTATGTCGTTCATGAAAGAGACCTGTTTACAGGATTTTCAGTTGAGCCCCAGTGTAAAACGTTTAAAAAGTTTGCCAGTGTAAAAGAGTTTGCTGCCGGGAAGATTATTACTATCCTACTATAGTTAATAGCTATAATCTGGCCTATGTTAGTCCTGTAGACGCTTCTTCCAGTGTTACTACTGCTGTAACATTACCCCTCCAGCATTGTTTGTCATTCAAGCTGATATCCATGGGCGACAGCCGGCGTCGGCCAGGGATGCTTATGTCTGAAATATTACATTGAGACTGCTGTATAAAATCGATAAACCACAAGAGCCGTGGTTCCTCAGTGGTTTATTACTCATAACGAGATGGGGCTCGCTGTTAATGGCATTCCAGTAGCCGAGCCAATGACCGAACGTTATTAGAACACGTTTAACGTTGGCCTTTTGGAATGATCGAATGCTCTATGTGTCACACGCGATTTATCATTCGACCAGGATTTGTCTGCTAGTGCTACTAGGATAGTGTAGGTGCCCTTGATTGCCGACGTTAAGTGAGATAAGCATGCCCTCAAGTGTTCCTGGGCTATGCAGCCAGGGTAAAGTGTCTCACAGGTGTAACTTATTCATTCACCTGATGCGAGGACAGGCGAACTCTTGATTACAGTGAAGACTTTGCTCCTGTGGTGTAGCCGCTGGCGTGTGAGCGCGTGTGGGTAGGGGGGAGCGGTGGCGGCTACGGGTGAAGACTTTGCTCCTGTGTGTAGCCCCTGTGTCGTGTGTGTGGTAGTGTGGTGAGGGTGGCGTGCTACGGGGTGAAGACTTTGCTCCTGTGTGTAGCCTGTGCCGTGTGTGTGGTAGTGTGGTGAGGGTGGCGTGCTACGGGGTGAAGACTTTGCTCCTGTGTTGTAAGCTCTGGTAGCTCTGTTGTGAGTAGTGTGGTGATGCGAGGGTGCGGCTACGGGCGTGGAAGGACTTTGCTCCTGTGTGTGAGCCCTTGCTTGTGTCTGTGGTATGGTAGTGCCGGTGGACGGTACGGCGGCTGGGTGAAGACTTTGCTCCTGTGTGTAGCCTGTGCCGTGTGGTTAGAGTTTTCACTTCTTATCCTTATTCGGACACGTGTAACGTTGGGCCATAATAAATATACTGTTTGTTTGCCCTCACCCGACCGAGCCCGCCAAAAGAAGACCGCAACTCAAAATTGTTATTATTGAATCTTTATTGAATTTTGTTACCAAATTATGATAACTGTGACATTATAAAATCTGTAGGCAATACAGTACTGTACCGGAGAAGGGTCAAAACAAAACATGTTCAACATAAAATGCCCCGAAGACAAGCACACAATTAAGCAGCACCGGGCATAAATGTAGACACCATGCTATTTTGTAAACAAATACCCCTTCAAAAATTAAGAAGCCTACCTACCTAACCAAACTTTTCAGCCTGGAAGTCGGGTGATGGGGCAAACCGAAAGTTGTTTTTTAGCTCATCATGACGATTAGTACGATGCAGCTTGTAGAATCGGCATGATACGTCCGTCCGTTGCGTCCGCTCCGTACGTGCTCAGGTCGTCGGTGCGATCCAGTCAACAGTTTGGGCACAAATCTAAACGGCTCGACGGTACGGTCCACGATATTCGGGACGTGGGGGGGTAATGCGAAACGAGTGGTATGTCGATACTGGGGGTCAAAGGTCAGAGTCAAAGAGGGTTAAAAAGAAGGGGAACATCCCTGCCATTAAGCTTAAGTATATCGGGAGAAATGCAGAATTGCGGCACAAATCTAAACGCTCGACCTAGGCTCGTGATAACGTCAGTGTGTATACAATCATGTAGGAGAAACAAGCCACGTCACTGTGGCCGAGCAATTGTTAGGTCACAGGTAAAGGTCAATAGGGGCAACAGGGAGATTTTAGACATTTCTGAGGACGAGGTCCGTGACCGAACGCGATCTGAAAGAACTTTTTTGTTTCAAGCTGGGTTGAACCTATCCATTTTTATGGGCTTTATTGAAAGGACCATGAAATGTGGCTTTCCACTGACCGTGCGAAGAGTAAGGTGCTGATAACCTTTTGACCCTCAAGAGGAGGGTTAAACATGGATTTGTTGAACTGTTACAAAGGAGTGAACTGCACTTTGCTATTAGGCCCCCTCCGCCCACCCTCCCCTTCCGCCTCCCCCACCGCCGTCGCCACGCTCCACCACGCCCATCTGCGGATATGTGGGCGTGTCCTAACAATGCAGTGTACACCAACTACGTTTCTGCGATATACTGGCCTAACAGATGTGCTACTACGCACGACTTGATAATTTTAGTTTATAATCGTAGCAACAGACCTCAGATGGGCCAGAACG